TGAACATTTAAGATACTATTTATTGACAGGCACAGGTGGCTCACACCTGTAATCCTAGCTACTCAGGACGCTGACATCTGAGGATCACAGTTCAAAGCCAGCCCAGGCAGGAAAGTCCATGAGACTCTGATCTCCAATAAACAGAAGTGGTGCTGTGGCTCAAATAGTAGAGCACTTGCCTTGAGCTGAAGAGTTGAGAGACAGCACCCAGGCCCACCCATTGTTCAAGCACCACAATTCGAGTGAAAAAAAAAAACAAAACAAAAACCTATTACTGAAATGAACTTCAGGAAATAAAAACACAGCGGATTTCACTGTTGCTGTTGGTGGTAATGCTCATTTTTGCTTTTGGTATTTTTGTCATTTTAGGAAGGCCAAAGGGGGCATAGTGAGGGAGGAACAAATGCAATCATGGTCTTCAGTATACATTATGTGGAAGAACTTTGCAACTTATAGACAGGAATGGGAAGGGAAAATTAGGGGAAGCAAAGGGAGAAATATACTCATTACATGACTTATGAAATGGTAACCCTCTGTACAACACCTTAATAATAACAATTAAATTATATTAAAAAAAAAGATTATTTACCATTGCCATGTTGGACAGTGGTGAACCAAGTGATCTCCAGCTGCCACAAACTATTCAGCATATACAAGGAACATAAAAAAGAGAAAAATTGAGTATTACTGAAACATAGGGTGGCAAAACATCAAACCCTAGGTAACCTCGAGAGCTATTTATCAATTAAAATGCAAATAGCACCAAACTGAAGCTGAAGATTTATTTCTATTATTATTAAATTCTATGTTCCTAATATCCACAAAAATTCAAATTAATGTCGGAAAAAAATATTGCATGGTTTATCACTTGTTACCATTGAAATGATACCCAAAACATAAAAAATTACCATGAAATTACTAAATTTAAGGTACCAAAATGCACTTTACTATTAAATATAAAAACTTAAACCTCAATGAAAGTCTCTGAAAATATTAAGTACATCTCAATGACAGAGACTACGTATGTTTTCTTCTTCCTTTTTCTTTGTATTTTATAACGTTATTAAATCCAGAGTTTTGGACATGTTAGCCAAGCCTTCAACAACTGACTTATTAACCCAGCACTTTCATTTTTCTTTGAAACATAACAATTTTTAAAGGCTTTATCAAATTCTTAAAAGAATCATTAACAAGAAAAACAAATTTAGTGCCAAACAATGGGAAGAGCAAAAAGAAATCCATGCTGAATATTAAGAAAACAATTTTAATATCCAAGTGTGGACCAAAGTTTCCAAATAGACTGCCATAAAAATTCTACATTTGATATAGTCAGCGCGAAGAAAATAAACACTAGCAAGTTCACTGCACAGCTGACAGAACACAAACAGGAAAAAAGGTAAGTGCCTGGGGGAATCTTTTCCATTCCCTCTTCTCCATTCCCTCTCTTCATTTCTAAACAAAGAGGAACTGAAGAAAAACATGAGAAGTGGTAGCAAATTTGAGAAGGAAGTTACATCTTCTCTTCTATGGGAAGTATAAATTTGTGTAAGCCACTAATATAGTCACCCAAATCTGCTTTTATTCAAGTCAGAAAAGTTCAACATATCTTCTTACAAAGCAACGCAGTTTCTTACAAAGTAAGAATATAATATTAAAAAACTTAAGTTTAATATTAAAAAACCTAAGACTTCAGAATATCTTCCAATACTCACCTCTTCTGGGGTGATTACACCTGTTTCCTTAAATTTTGATTCCTAAAGAAAGCAAAAAGAGTAGCTGCATTATATCATCTCTCACTTTCAATTAAAGAAAAAGTTGTAGAAACAACTACTTACCTGGAATCCTTTAGGTAATGGTGAGTATACATCTAGATATGATGATACTTTCATATTTAACCTGTATATATATATCAGCAGTACTTGACTAAAAGATATGCAATACTGATTACAATATGTGACTAATACAATAAGATATAGCTGTTAAGAAAAAAGTTAAAAATATTAAGACTTACCATGATTGTGTAATAAATCTTTATGTAAAAATATGTTAAAGGTATTTAATTTACCCAGTCTTATTTAAATTTCATAATATCAGAAATCACTTAACATTTCTCCTTATTCTCAAAGACAATATTCTCTCCTCTAATCAAGAATGCTATTAACTAAATTTTTCTAAACTTTGTCATAGGAAGTTTGTGGTAGCCTATAAAAAATGAAAAACTCATTACTGAACATTATTGTTTTACTACTATGTGCCAAGCATTACTTAAGATAGGTCTTAAAAGACCTAAGGCTACAACAGGAAGAGCATTTCCAATCTAAGCAAAGAAGAAATGCGAAATCCTAGCAGCAAAGCTCATGAAGAGGTCAGGTTTGGCTTGAACAGGTATGTAATCCAGGGACAAAACAGTAAAAGAGGTTATGACTTCTGATAAATCCTCTAAATAAAAACACAGTTTAACTTTTGCTTGCTAAAATCATCATTTCTTCCCTCCTTTTCTTTCCCTAGTCTAGCAGGAAACTACAAGGATTTTCTGTGTTAAGCAACAGTATATCACAAGTATAACAAAGAGAAGGAAAGATCATTAATTCTACTTTCCTTTACACTAAAAAGTATACACCACACATACTAACATGCTAACATTTCCCTTAGCAGTTTGGTGAAAAACTAATTCCTTTTAACAATTCTGCATCATAAATCCAACAACTGTCCTATAAATACCACTTTATATTTAATTTGGGAAGTCTTTTACTCTGAAACTAAAAACTTGTAACAATTTTTTATTATTGATGTTATATTCCTAGGTAGATGTTATATTCCTAGGTAGATACAATACTTTAAAGAGTAACATAACATTCAAAAGAAGCTAGGGTTCAAATATCAAAATTACTTTCAAATTTTAAATAGCTAGCCAAATGATCTTTTACAGTAAACAAATATAAACAAGGCAAGACAAAATTCTCATTTAGAGGGTCAGTTTCATAGACACATTATATAAATATATATACAAACGAAATCCTCCTTGTACAACTAATTCATACTAATAAAAATGTGAAGAAAGCCTACACCAGTGGCTCATGCCCGTAATCCTAGCTACTCAGGAAGCAAGATCTGATGATCGAGGTTCAAAGCCAGCCCTGGCAGGAAAGTCCCTGAGACTCTTAGCTCCAATTAACCACCAGAAAACCAGAAGTGGTGCTGTGGCTCAAGTAGTAAAAACTAGTCTTTAGCTGAGGAGTCTAGAGAAAGCACCCAGGCACAGAGTTCAAGCCCCACGATGAACAAAAAAAGTGAAGAAAAAAAAAGGCTCCCATTTATAAGTTCTTATTTCTTAGTTGGCACAATAAAGTAACATTTCAAAAGAGATTGGAAATAAGTATGAAAGAAGAACTAATATAACCCTTTATCAAAGAAAGGGGACAAAGTAAAATTGTCCACTTTCTCTCCTACCTTATCAGAGTATTTCTTTCCACTCTAAGATTAGAAAAATTCTAGTCAAACACTTAAAACAACCAAACAAAACAAAAACAAAAGTAAGCAAAGAGTTTGCCATTCATTCGTTATGATTGCTTGCTTTTCTGAAAACAAAATGAAGTTCCAAGAACAACAATAAAACCCTAGGTGTTCTAAAAAGAACACTTGAATGCTGTTCTAGACATTTTTGAAATATAAACCAATTGCACTTACTATGCCTGCTAATGCACCAGCTTTTACTTTAAAAATGTTTCACTGTTTTCTTTATCTATATGTACATACGCATGTATGTATGTATGTATATATGTGTGTATTTGAAATGATAGATTCAGGAAGCCAAAGGCTGTTCCTTACCCGTTCCGTGCATTAAGAGCCAGTTAGAACTCTAATTTTTTTTAAAGATTGGAAAAAGGAAGATTTCGATCTTTATCTTAGTTCAATGTTAAAATTCACTTCTTTCCTATTCGTCACCAACCTAGTTCATACTTTTGACTTTCTGCGAAACTTGGAAGTGTGACCTTCTGTCACTTAGGTACCAAACACTGATTTCACACACACACATAGACAAAAGCCTTATTTTCAAAGTTTAAAAGCCTTCTGACATTAGAATTTAAATCTTTGCTAATCATCTTTCAACCCGACATACCCAGACCAGACGTGCAGAGGACAGACGGGAGGGGATCCGAGCACGCCCAGAGCTTCCCTTCGAAGTTTATGCCCAACAAGACGGCAGGCACGAGGCTGGGTCGGGTCCCACCCTCACACCTACCCCCGTCGGGAACAGGTGGGAGGGGGGTGCACTTTACCCGACGTCCCACCCGGGGCCCTTTGCCGTCGGGCGCCCGTCCCTGCGCGGGGCGTCCGGGGCCTGCCAGCCGGACCCCGTCGAGCCCGGCCCGGCTTACCTTGAGCACCGGGGTCAGGTACTCAGCCACTTCCAGAGCCTTTCCCTTCACCGTGTTAATCACATTCTGCATCCTGGGGCCGGAGCGGCGGCCGGCCCCGCGGCGGGGCAGGAGGGGCGCCCAGGGACCGGGGCCAGCGAGTCCAAAAAAGGTCCCCGCCGACGCCGACGCGCAGCGGCCCGGGCCCGAGGCACGGAACGGGGTCGGACGGCACCCGGGGAGGGGCGGCGAGCGCCCTGCGCCGGGGCCGGGCCCGGCGGTCACCGGTCCGCGCTGGACGGCGGCGGCTCCCGGAAGGTGGACAGGGGTGGAGGGGTGGAGGCGGAGGGGGGAGGCGGGTGCACGCGCACCCCTCGCCACTCCGCAGCAGTCCCTGTCCCCGCTCAGCTTCCCTCCCACCCCTTCCGGCTTCCCCTTCCACCTCACACTCCCTTAGGCCCGGCCTCTGCCGCCACTGGGCCTCACGTGACACCGGCTTTTCCTCCCGCCCCTTTCCCCCCGGCACGTGACCTGAGGAACGCCGCGCGGGGCGGGAACGGCCCGCCTCTTTCCCCCTTCCCCCCCCCCCCCCCCGGAAATACAACACTGAGTGCGCCTGCGCTGTGGCCGCCGGGTCCGCTATTTCTCACTCGGGTGGCTGGCCTGAGCTTTTGGTTCCGGAGTAGGACGCCTGGAGAAAGAAGCTTTTTTTAACCCTCGTTTCCTTTTCGTAAGCTTCCTCGCCCATGGATTCTAAGCTGTGACTGCTACTATAGGGAACTACGGACAGTCACTATCTCAGCTCTGTGATGTGCGTTCTCCCACTAGAAGCTTTTCTGAGCTGCCGAGGTAACCGCGCCCCCTTGGCGCGCAGCACTGCGCGTGCGCGGGGCACCACAGGCTGTGGGCTGTCACCTTGATCTCTACTGCGCATGTGTAAACGGCACTGACCGAGGAGGTGGATCTGGTCTTCCTAAGGGTAGGTGACTCCTTGCACTCCTGTCAGGTTGCGCCCAGCCCAGCTGGTGGGTGGTTTGGGCATTTCTCCCCCGCCTCAGGCGCAGTGTGCCATGCCGGCTGTAGGTCAATTCTTAAGGCAAGTATTTATGCTCCCTGAGATTGTGTGTACTCTTCTGTCAGAAAGAAACGCCCTGTTAGACTCATTTGCACTGATTTAACAAGAGGCTGCATTTTCGTTATTACTATAGTGAAATAGGACCCAGTATGTTTTTTCAAATAAAAGGGAAAAAAGATTGCAATTTCTAGCAACGTTGCTAGAGAAAGAAATACATTGCTTTTCTGCAGTCCCACATTGTCACTCACTGAAATACTTGCCCCCTCGTTTCCAGTCGGGCGGTATCTTTCCTTATCAGACTTTGAGTTTTTCATTTCCTCCACCCACTGTTTATCTTATACTACTCAGCTATCTTGAATATGATATACAGTTGTGGCCAAACATCTAAATATTTTCTGTTAATGCACAAGCAATGGTGTTGGCAATATGCATAATTAATCCTTAGGTCTACCAACAGAGTTGCTCATGAAAGTATTCTTTTCAAGGCAATTAAAAAGCATTGGAATGGAAAGAAAATGCTGTAGGCGTCCTGGGTTATGTTCCTCAACGATGTATACATTCCTACTGGGTGCTGTATTCATTGCTTTAAGTTCAAGTCGGATCTTACTGGTAAAATATTCTGCCAATGAAGGTAAGTTCTGATGTGGTATATGTATGGAGAACTTAATACACTTGATCTTTTCTATCTTTGGATTCTTTGTGTATAAAATAAAACTAATAGTACCTTATGGAAGACTTTGCTTCATATGAATGATAGCGCATGTTTAGTATTTAGCTGTTTCTTTCTCTACAAGAAAAATATTGACACTGATTGAAGTTTGTGTCAGTTAAGTACAAAATCAAACCCTTTGTACAGAACATGTACCTGATTTTTACTTCATTCAGCAGGTGTTTCTGGACAATTGTTTAATTGTAGTGAATTGTATAATTGTAGCTTATTTGAAACTAGGAAGATATAGTCACTTGACATTTGTGAGGTATTATTATAATTATTTTATGTAGAACACTACAGATTATAAGGTTTTGTAGGTATGTACTCAAAAAATTTTTTTAATCTAAGAATTTATGCAAATATTTCACTTCCACAAACTATTGAATACTTTCCGTTCATTACAATACATAAAATCATTACATCATTACCTGGACTGATGGTCTTCTTTGGGAGCCATATGTATATATAAGCCCAACTTTAGTTGATATTTATCTTTAAAACTCTAGGTTAAATATTATTAGTAGGGTTCAAAATGCCTAAGGATAGGCCTTTCCCTAAGAATTCATAGGTTTTATTAGGAGAGACATGTACACATATTATGAAAATATTCTTAATAAATGCAGTATTGGAAATATGTTGTGAGAAAGGCTGTCGTTTCTATCAAAATTGGTTGCTCAAAAGCTCCTTTAGGCATTGTGGCTTGGCTCTCGCTGATTATTCTGCTGACATTAGATGGCAGCAAGGATTGAAAGCGAAAGAGGAACTGCTTTGGAATGAGGAAGAATTTTTGAAATGGAAGGTTTTATCTTAAGTTGTACTAAGATGGAATTAAGACACCACTTTGGTTGTTTAAGAAATAGCAGAGGGTGTGGATGTGTTTTGAGATTGCTTTTGTATTGTTAATCTTTTAGTGGTTGCCTTATGTAAATCTATCTTAACCCGCCAATCACAAGCAGATTGTGAACCAGAGCTCAACCAATTGGAGCAGAGGGTGAAGGCCTGCTGCATTAGGGATAAATAGGGAACTGCTTGCCTGATCAGTGAGCTTGCCAGATTTTTGGCTTCATCCCAGAAGTAAATTTTTCCTTGCTGAAACAGTCCTTCATTTTCAATTCTTTAGTTGCACTTGGAGAATATATTTATAACAATGTCAAAGCCAGGTGCTGGTAGCTCACACCTGAAATTCTAGCTACTTTGGAGTCAGATCTGAGTATCACAGTTTGAAGCCAACCTGACAGGGAAGTCCCAAGACCCTTATTTCCAGACTCTTCTCTCCAATTAACTACATTATTACAGTAATGGAGGTATGTTTCAAGTGATAGCTCCTTAGCCTGGAGCAAAAAAGCTCAGGGACCATACCTGCAGTAAAGGAAAAGGGAATTTATTCTGTTTCAGACAGACTGTGCAGTATAAATGTATTAGGGAGTACTTCCCTGGTTTCTGTCAGTTGATACACAAAAATACCAAAATGCCATATAGATGGGGTTTATTTTTAGAGGTTCATATGCTATGTTAAAGAGCTGAGATTTTATTTTCTATTCCTAGAGTCTAGGAGATAAGCTGTACTGGAAGGATTACAAACAGTTGAAATTAACCTGGAAAAGAATGTCAGAAAGAACCAATGAAAAGCAAGAATGAGTTAACATTGACAAGGATTTAGAAGTTGTAACCTAAGCCCTGCGTCCTTGTGTACATGTACACATACTAGTTTGCCTGTATAACACCAAAGATAATGAAAAGTCTCATCTGAGGATAACAAACTGACTTGAGTTTGCCTTTGTGCCAAGAAAAGAGAGGAGGTATTTGAACTAGACTTTAAATTATGGAGAAAATTGAACAAGCAAATATTAAATCCAGGTAGACAGTTGTTAAGTGCCTACACCTGCAAAGTGCAGAAGACTGTAAGGTATATTAAATAATAGATTTCATTAGGTAGCTGATGAATTGATACCACGTGGTATTCAGGCACTGCTTCCCACTGTGCATGGAAGAGAAGAATGGTGGAAAGAGGCGACCCACCCCAGGGCCAGGACTTATCTAGGCCAGGGACAGGAAGAGCTTTGGCCAGGTGGGAGAAAGGTGTGGCCACACTGGATCCAGAGGTGGCCCAGGATGTGACCTAGCAAGAGGGGGAGGTGACTGCTTCCAGGTGTACCAGTTACCTAGGTGGAAACTTAGCCAAAAGGTAGGGATGTGGGTGCACTGGGCCTGAATAACCCAGGGCAGACCTTACAGAGATCAAATTTTCAACCTGTGAAGGTGACCAACATGACTGTTTTCTTATTAGGAGCTTACATTTCTAAGAGTATGACATACATAAAAAGTTATAGTACAGTATGCCAAGTGTGGTGACAGAGGTTTACAGATAGTACATCAAGAACAAACTTGGTTCTGCATAGATTCAGAAGTTCAAGGGACACTTCAGAGAAGTGGAAGTGTGTAGAAAGAGAATTTGATGTCAAGTAGGCATTTATAGTTGACCGGTTTGCATTTTAATTCAACTAGGAGAAACAAAAAGATGCCTGAAAAGAATACCTAATAAAGCTCATATATGTCCTTGGTAAATATAATAAAGTAAGTTGTTCATTAACGTTTAGAAATGATAGAGGTAATAATTAGCACCAAGGCATGCTAGCTAAACCTCATTTCTTGATTCAGTAGGTTTGTTAGGGCATAGCTTCATAGCTTATTAATGGGCACAAATAGCCTAGAAACCTTAGAAATACTTCAGTCAGTTGCCTCTTGCCTAAAGTAGCTTTTTTCCTTTGTTCCAGTTTACCATGTATCCCATAGTATTAAAGAATATTAATATTTTCTGTGTAAATCATGATACGAAACAGATTGGAAAATTCTGAGTTAAAGAAATGTCTTAGTCAAGATCTGGTGGCTCACACCTGTAACCCTAGTCACTCAGGAGACTGAGATCCAGAAGATCAAGGTTCTAAGCCAGCCTTGCAGAAAAGTCCAGGAGACTCCATCTCAAACAAAACACACATACACACACTTACTCACAAATAATCAAAAACACAAAAGGATGGCCTGGAGCATGGCTCAAGTGATAAACTTTCAGCTAAGCAAGCCCCAGAGCCCTGAGTTCACACCCTGGCACTGCCCTCTACACACACACAAACAATTCAGCAGGAAAATTCATAACCATTGGATAAGTCAAACACTAAGTCATATTAATATTCCGTCTAAAAGGCAGAGCTTTTTTGGCTTTCACTCCTAGTCTGTTCAACATAACGTAAGAGTAACACAAAGGAAAACATGAGACTTGTTTACCAAATTCAAGGATAATAAAAAATTGAAGACAATAAGGGATCCAATAAATAAATGGATGCAAGTATTCAGAAAAGCTGTGTCAGCTGGAAAAAGTTTAATGGAACTAGGAATTAAATCCACCTTTTAAGTTTAACAACTATTAACTATATATAAGTAGAAGTAGAATACAATTTATAGTTAAGAAATCTTGGTTGCATTTCAGAGAACAAGTATGACTATCTTCCAACTACTGTGAATGTGTGCTCAGAACTGGTGAAGCTAGTTTTCTGTGCGCTGGTGTCCCTCTGTGTTATAAAGAAAGGTGAGTCTTGGAATAATATTCAATGCTAGCTAAAAAAAAAAAAAAAATCACATAATCCAGAAACTTTCAAACTAAAGTCAATTTTATGTATGACATGCATATATAGAGACACACACACTCACAAGAGAAATAAACTCAAAGAGAATATTATGCAGAGCAGTGTTGAAAGGGCTGTGTTAGCACAGTAACTCTCTATCCTGCCCATTAATCTACTTCCACGTTTCCTCCTGTGGTGATTTTAGCACAGCAAGTTTTCATATACTTGCAGGATTTTCTAAATCCCTCTGCTGTCTATCTTGATAGGTTTTGTGTTGCAGAGTGGCTCATTTCCTTAGGGAAGGCAGCAACAGCTTAGTGTGTTCTGCTGGAGTCAGAATGTGATCTGAGATGCTTGTTCAGGAAGATGGCTTTCATACTCAAGGGTTTCACTCTGGACAGAGTTTCTAATTAATAGAATGCATTTCTTCATTTCATGCAACTTGCTCATTACTTGCAGGGCTTCGAGTTATACTATCTTTTTTTTTTCTTTTCATATTCTCTTTGTTAGAGTATAACTTCCTAAGTCTTTGGAAATCTGCAGCTTGAATATAACTCACATTGGGATTTGTGACTATTAATTATTTCTTCTTCCACACATACAAATTTCTACTTTATTAGTTCTCTGACCTTCCCTGAAAGGAAAATTAGTAATACAAAACTTGGACTTTTTTCTATATATCCCAACTTATTGATCTCATATTGATCTTATGTGTATCCTGAGACATGGTAAATAATAACACTTAGATAACTAAATGTTACTAAAAGTGTTGCTGGCCACCAGTGATGGGACACAAAGACAGGTTAAAGAGAGTAAAGTATAGACATTCTCAGTGAAGCTCATTTGCTTATTGCTGTATTTCTCCCTTTAGAAAATCATCAAAGTAGACATTTGAGATGTGCTTCCTGGAAGGAATTCTCTCAGTTCATGAAGTGGTCCATTCCTGCTTTTCTCTATTTCCTGGATAACTTGATTGTCTTCTATGTTCTATCCTATCTCCAACCTGTAAGTAAAAATATAACTGGAGAAATAAGATTCAAGGAAAAGAACTCCAGAAGTAATTTTTTTTACTTTTATCTTTTTCCTGGGCTTCATTAGTCCCTTTTTGTCCTCACTAGTCTTGCTGAATTTTTTCCAGAATTATCACAGAATCTTGAATTACCAGCTTGCTTGCAAGATTCTTGCACTGAGCATTCTAACTGAGCTGACCTCTATGGGGAAACTGTTCATGGCCCAAGGAATCAGAAGTTTCCTCCACCCTTCATTATATAATTTTTCAGTAGTTGGCTTATAGCTATCCTCTAATCTCAGTCTTTGCATCTCAGACCTCCATGCAGACTTCCATGACTAACACAGAAATCACACATTTTGTGTGTCTCTGTTTCTTACATCTGTTGTAAATGTACTTCGTGTTTTGCATTATTTGCATAGCTTTTTCTGTTAATCTTATCATTAAACCAATAAATTCTTTGACAGTAGGAATTATATTACTCCATATAGGAAAGCCATGTATAAGTGATAATTCTGGGAATATTCTTTTCTTGGCATTCTTTGTGTGAACATGGAAAGACATATGTACTCAGAATTTAAGAGGTTGGTCTTCTGCTTTTATCTATTACTCAGTTTTGATTACACATATTCCTCCTAATATTTTATAAATGAAGGTTTCTATTGCATTTATTGACAAAATATGTGTTGTTTCTTTTAAAAAGACAGATTAAGCATTTTGATTACACATAGGAACTTTATTGGCATGATTTAAAACCTGTTAAGTACTAATCAGATCAATTTTAGAATGAGTTGAAAAGGAAAGCTCAGCAGAATACTGTTGTAGAAACAAGAGTTTGATGCTTTCCCATAATTTAGAATCTGAGTAGCTAGGAACACCCAGACTACTCTCAGCTATTGTTAATGTATCAATAAAATAGAAAAAAAATGAGCTCAAAGGCCCAGACCTTGGCTAGTTGAATACCTGAAGTTACTTTCAGCTCTGATTTTTGTTGGTAGTAACTGCTCAATCCACATAGAATGTGCCCTTTCTTAAATTCTTGTTTCTACTTTGTTTTTTAGATCTGAAAATACCTATATAATAGTACAATTATATGATGCAGTTATTATATAACTATATAATTATTATATAATTATGAGTATGGTTGTTCACATTTAATAAATATTTGTTTTATTAGATTAGCTCTAAATTAGCTCTAAATTCGCACTCCTTTCCTGCCTTCCCATTACGAAAGCCAAATTGTACTTCCTTATTTTTCTCTAATATGGATTGCTTTGTACTTCCTTCCTGATTATGTACATTACAGATATTACAAACTGTCACATGACATACTCTTAACTTCCGTGCCCAGATCTACTTCAGGAATCAGATTCAGATGCATGAATGTTGTCAAGCAAAGAGCTGATAATTGGATTAGTCTATACTATTACATGGAAAGAGTTTTAAGAATCCATCAAACCAGGCAGGCTATTCTGTTAGTTGCCCTTAATGTGAATATCACCATTTCCCACGGTTACAAGCTACTTTCCTCATCATTTCATATTTTTCTTTTAACTGGGGTTTATAAGCATTTATCTGCTGAAAAGTACACTAAGAGAACCAATTCATTGTCTCCCAGTACAAAAAAATATACAAGGTTAAGAAAGTAGAAGTGCTAAATATCTTAATTTGATCATTATATATTATATTTTATGTACTAAATTAGCTTTCTTTATAACCCACAAATATGTAAAACTGGGAGTTTATTAAAAGCATTTTTTAATTCAGTAGAAGGGATTGGGTATGGAATTCATTAGTTAAATACTTGCCTAGCATGCAGAAGACTGGGTTCAAGCCAGAGCACCACAAAAAAAGTGAACAAGAATAGAAAAACCATGTTATGCTCTTGAAATTGTTGCTCGTTTTATTGCATTTACTCTTTTAAAAAGTGCATATTAGACATGAATTCTGTTATTAATGGTTATAATTTAAAAAAAAAAAAAGCTTGAGCCAGGCAGTGGTGGCTCACACCTGTTATCCTAGCTACTCATGAGGCTGAGACTGAGTGTTGTGGTTTGAAGCCCACCCAGGCAAGAAAGTCCATGAGACTGATCTCCAATTAACCACCAGAAAGCCAGAAGTGGCACTGTGGCTGAAGTGGTAGAGTGCTTACCTCGGGCTAAAGAGCTCTGCGGCAGCACCCAGACCCTGAGTGTAAGCCCCATGACCAACAAAAAAATAAATTAAATAAATAAATGAAAGCTTGATACTCTTTATAATTTGGTTGGTTAGTTGGTTGGCTGTTTTTAGATTCAATCTTTCTGTGTAGCTCAGGCTTGTGTAGTCTTGACTTGAAATCCCCCTGCCTCAGCCTCCCAAGTGCTGGGATTACAGGTAGGAACCATCATATCTGGCTACACTTTGTAGTTTAATAAACTTAAAAGAAGAAGACAGAGTGTACTAGAACATAGGATTATTGTAAAAAAATTATTAATATTCCCAGGTCCAAATATGAGAGCAATGATAGAATTTCATACTTTCTGAACAAAACCTATACAGGTTCAGATTTATATTCTCATGTATTATGACTGAATTCACAAAAACATTTCTAAATGTCTAAAATAAGTAGAGTCATTCCAAAGAACTGTTAAGTAGAAGTGTTGTTTTTAAGTCACGTCATTCCAACTAGGAAAATTAATTTAAAGCATTAAACAAAAAGGATGCTTAAATGTCTCCCTAGACTTTCTTGCCACATGAATAAGCCTGACAATACTTCTGTTTTCTCAACCCATAGAAACAATAGTAAGTCTATAAAAGGGACCAGGAGTCCTGAGTTCCATCCCAAGACAACAACAACAGCAACATAATAATAATAATAGTTTCATAAAGCCTATGAAGTACTTTGTCACCTGTGAAAAGTGTATTTCATAAGCATGGAACTTTTCTAAACCATTAGAATTTATAAATATTTACAGATCTACATATGAATTATTTACATTGTCATTGGCTTGACTTAAACACATATTTATAAAGTCTGGTCAATAATTTGATCCTATCTGCATAAACTTGAGCAATAAAAATGAAATTTGATCCTTTAGTGAAACAGCTGCCCCAATAACTCCCTCATTTTTAACTAAGAGGGTTTGTTGTCAGGTGAACTACTAAGCTGAGAGATTCCTGAGGTCAGTACTTTGTTTGGATTGTAATACTATCTCCTGTTTCTTTCTAGGCCATGGCTGTTATCTTCTCAAATTTTAGCATTATAACAACAGCTCTTCTATTCAGGATAGTGCTCAAGTAAGTAACCTGCTATGAAAGAATATATCATATTTTAAAGTGCTACCGACTGATTTCAGATAATAGACCCAAAGTCTTGAGCCCTCAGATTTCCTAAGACCTTATTTTGTTCCTAATTGGTTTTGTGGGTTGGACACATTGTTTCACCCATATGGAAAGCAAGTCCAGTGCTAGCTTGCCTTAGTCCTCTACGATCTGATGTACAAAATGTCCACAGCATCTTATAAATACATGATTGCGTTATAATTTTTAATGAAGATTTTATGAGCTTTTCATGCACAATCTGTACAATAAAGAGAATCAAGAGATTCCTATCATAATTTAATACAGTTATACTTTGGAGATAATAGAGTGACAGCTTCTTTAATAAGCCACTTGAGCATATGACTTAAATTCTAACTAGTTAACATTATAATTAATAAATTAATAAAAGTAAGTTTTTAAACTTTTAAAATGGCTATCATTAAACCTCTCTTATTATTTCTAGGATCTTGAGTAGTACAAATGTTTTTCAAATTGACTCAACTAAAAAGCAAAGACCAAAGTATCTTAAGACAGAAAAGAATGGTAATATAGAAACCTAGAGATTTAATCCCAGTTTAATTTGCTAGTCAATAATATTGACAAAAAATAAATAAAATTAACTTTTTGTTTCATTTGTTATGCTTGTTTTCTTTTAATTTTACAATCCCTTTAAATTTCTTATTTTTTACTGTGCTACTGTGGGGAAACATTTCATTGTTAATGTGAGAGATTGCAAACTAAACAGTGTACTTAGTACAGTTTAAATGTTAAAATAACATTGAAAATGTGCTTAATTCATCATGTTTGCTTTAGCTTTGAATTACAAAAGTAATTCTTTAACAATTTGAAAATACTTTGAAACCCTTAAAATCAATGTGAAATTCATTTTACAGGATAAAAAAATTCACTCCTAAGAAAATGTACACAAACAAAAATATCTTATATTGATTCCTCTAATAAATTTAGAGACACATATCCATGATAATAAAAGAAAATTAGGTTTACTTGGAACTTCAGTTAGGCTTCAGTTAGGTGAGGCAGCCAAGTAAACTGCAGAATAAACTCTGACATGCTGATTTGACAGAGTAATTTATTAAACTTCATATCCTTTTGTGAAAGTCCATCATGTTTAGCCTAATCCTTAATAATTGTTCTCTTCCTAGGAATATTACCTTGAATAAGCAGTTTGCAGTAACTAGTTTTATTTAAGGGTCAGTTTCTTTATTCTCAATGTCAAAATTAATGGAAAATCTATGCCTTCCAGAAATGAAAATTTACCAAAGGCACTACATTGTATTGTTATTGCCTCATTTGCCTGTCACGTGCAATAATTGATTACATAGCTTTTAAAAACTGAATATCCACCTTATCTCTATTTCTTCTTTCCAGTCTTCTTGCCTTCTCCTACCCAATATGTTCCTGTGTCCCAGTGTACCTTCAGAAATTGAAATGATAAATTCAGTTTTTTACCTCGTGGCACATAGCTATGCTATCCCCATTTCTGAGTTCTATTTGTTTGAAAATAACATACATGATAACTCATGACAGTGTACACAGGTATGCTGCTATCTGAGGTCATGTGCATATTACTGGTTTCAAAGAAAATATATAGAATGATTGGTGAAATCAGGCACATTTTCTTTTATGCTTTAAGAAATCTTATAATTAATCTTTAAAGATGTGATTGCCTGGGAGGAAGATATACAAACCATAACGCAAATCTTTCTCTGACATTTTCTTTTCTTTTTTGAGGGAGGGAGGGTCTGGTCGTGGGGCCTGAACTCTGGGCCTGGGCACTGCCCCTCAGCTCTTCAGCTCAAGGCTAGCACTCTACCACTTGAGCCACAGCGCCACTTCCGGCTTTTTTCTTTTTGCTTATGTGGTGCTGAGGAATCGAACCCAGAGCCTCAGGCATGCAAGGCAAACCCTCTACCACTGAGCCACCTTCCTAGCCCTCTCTGACATTTTCATAAGGAAGTTACTTAAGCTCCCATGATAAGAAAAGTCTTACAGCTTCTGATTCTCATCTGTAACTTTACACTTATGCCTGTGCGTTTATTATTCTCTTTTCTTAGCTTTTCACACCTTTACCTGAGTAATTGTCTGCAAACATCAAGGTTTTGCTCTCCCTGGATGCCTTGCAGAATTCTCTGAGAAATGCTCTTCTCTGTTAACATCATGCTTTCCTGTTGCCTTTGCATAAGTAGATTCTTTCCTCCTGGATATATAACCAGCTTCCTCATCACATGGCAAACTTTAGTTTATTTTTCATCTTTCAGCTTCTGTCATTTTGCCTTGGAAGAAATAAACTTGACTTGCAAGTTCAAATGTTCCTCTGTCACTATTAAAGTATAAATTCCTCTGGAGGGAGATAAGTCTTCTTAATCTCCCAAGTAAGCAGCACATAGCTGCTGAACCAAATGAGTCAGCAAAATTGAATAATATTGTGTCTTCTATATCTCACAAGTTTGTTATTGGGCTCAAGAAAGAAAGAAAGCACAGTTAGAGCTCTGTGAACTGAACACAAGTGAACACTGCCCCAAGTAGCAGTTACTATCCTTGCAGATGGTTGTATAATGCACGTAGCTAGCTTTTTCAAAGATTCTAATGATCATGAATACCGTTGAGAGATTTGATCTTTCTAGGGAGAAATTCACCTAGATGTAAGATTTTCTGGAGCTCATCTATATTCTTTGTGTTCCTTGGGAAACTAAACTGAGAACCAGTATAATAAATAACACCAACAGGTTTTCTTTGAGCTTGAACTATGGAGAGTACTGGTAACTACTAGATTCAGTTTATTCAACCAAGTACTCAAGTTTCTGAATTTTCAAGTGGCAAAGGGAGAGAGAACAGAAGTAAGATGTTGTTTTTCATCTTTGGACAGGCGGCATCTAAGCTGGATACAATGGGCTTCCCTTCTGATTCTGTTTTTGTCTATTGTGGCCCTAACTACTGGGACTAAAACTTCACACAATAACCTGACAGGCCATGGATTTCATCATGATGCCTTTTTCAGCCCATCCAATTCCTGTCTTCATTTCCAAAACGAATGTTCCAGGGAAGATAATTGCACAACAAAGGAGTGGACTTTTCCTGAAGCTAAGTGGAACACTACAGCCAGAGTTTTCGGTCACATCCGTTTAGGCTTGGGCCATGTTCTCATTATAGTACAGTGCTTTATGTCTTCAATGGCCAATATCTACAATGAAAAGATACTGAAGGAAGGGAACCAGCTCACTGAAAGCATCTTCATACAGAACAGCAAACTCTATTTCTTTGGCATTGTTTTTAATGGGCTGACATTGGGCCTGCAGAGCAGCAACCGGGATCAAATTAAGAACTGTGGGTTTTTTTATGGCCACAATGCATTTTCAATAGCCCTTATTTTTGTAACTGCATTCCAGGGCCTTGCAGTGGCTTTCATCCTGAAGTTTCTGGATAACATGTTCCATGTCTTGATGGCCCAGGTCACCACTGTCATCATCACAGCAGTGTCTGTCCTGGTCTTTGACTTCAAGCCCTCCCTGGAGTTTTTCTTGGAAGCCCCATCTGCCCTTCTCTCCATATTTATTTATAATGCCAGCAAGTCTCAAAGTCTAGAGTATGCACCTAGGCAAGAAAGGATCCGAGATCTAAGTGGCAATCTTTGGGAGCGTTCCAGTGGGGTAAGTTTCCGAGGCGATTCCATTTTGCTTGCACTTCACAAATTCAAAATATAGCTAGTTAAGAAGAAAAAATTCATCATTGGTTTGTCAAAAACAATGTGTATCTGTGACTTAAAAAAAATGAATCAGTAGGCATTCACTAGACTTGTATTGTTTGTCAAATCATCTCATTTTGCTTACAATATTACAACATCTGTCAGGCAGAGAGAAAGTTGAAACCATAGTCTTCCCAGCATGCAATATCTTAATTGGACCAGAATATTACAAAAGTCACAGACCTAAAAAAGACCTCACTGCTAATCTTGTCATGTCTTCCTAGTTTTATGATTAAAGAAACAGGCTAAAAATGGATAAATAAGTGAAAAACCAGTGGTGGATTTAAGAGATCTAACTCCTTGTTCCTTGCTGTATTGCATAATAGTTGGAAAAATAAGCCAAGTTCCTCAGAGAAGTAGATCTTTTACATTGGTAAATCTTCTTAAATGGAAAACCTGGTTTTTTAATCCTCCCTGAAGTTACAGAATTTACTTTACCATGAAGATAGTTTTCAAGAGGATGCCTCTAAGTGGTAGAATCCTATTTTCTGGGGAGATGATTATGCAATTATTTTGACTATGTCAGTTATAATTGTTGAATATAATTCAAGTTAAAAAAAGGAATGGATTATCTTACATAGCTTTAGATTTACAGTTTTCCTAAAAACACACAAGATGAATTGTGCTATGCAGTGTTTCTCATTTTACTCTTCAGGCCTCCACTAGATGTCACATCTCTGAGATAGTAATACAGCAGATTAAGGGGGAATAAATATAAGCTTGTGTCCCAAACTCCCCAGTCTCAGCCAGATTGTCCACTCAGAAGTCTGCTCTTTTCCAGGGACTGATAATGCTATTTACTTTAACTTGTAAGTAAAATCACTTTAGGTACAAGGCCTAGCTTCTATCCCATTCTCCACCCTTGGATTATTTCCCCTCAAGACCAGCAGGTGGTGCTCCTAGGTTAACATTCATGTGGCTTACTGAACTTGAGGAACTGAGTTGAATACCTTTCACTTTTTAATCATCTCATTTTGCTTCAGAAGTTAATTTTCCAAGTATTTAATTTGAACAGATTCATATTTGCAGTTTAATGAAATAAGACTCATGACTTAATGAATATGGTTCTTTGTATATTTTTTTTTACATTTCTTTTTTTTGAGTCCAGTCATGGGCCTGAACCCTGGGCCTGGGCACTGTCCCTCAGCTCTATAGCTCAAGGCTAGTGCTCTCCCACTTGGAGCCACAGCGCCACTTCCGGCTTGTTTTTTTTTTTCCGCTTATGTGGTGCTGAGGAATTGAATCCACGGCCTCATGCATGCAAAGCAAGCGCTCTACCACTGAGCCATCTCCCCGGCCCTCTTGCTTTGTATATTAAGAAAGCCTTCCTCATAGTAATGATTCAAAATACAGTACTTCTAGGCTAGGCACAGGGGCTCACAGCTGTAATCCAAGCTGGTCTAGAGGTGTAGATCAGAAAGATTGCATTTCAAAGCCAGCCAGGGCAAAAAGTTAGTGAAACCCTGCCTCTCAGTCCTCTCATCCCAGTGAGGTAGGAGGCATAGCTAAAGGACTAGATATATAGTTAAGTGGTAGAACACTTGCCTAGTTTGAGGTCCTGAGTATAAACCTGAGTAATACAAAATAAACAGATGCAGGGCGGCTGGATGGATAGGTGGATAGATAGATTTTTAACAAAATGCTTTTTAATTTTGTTTTAATTACTGATTTCATGTTTCCTTTTAGGATGGAGAGGAACTGGAAAGACTTACCAAACCCAAAAGTGATGAATCAGATGAAGACACTTTCTAATTAGTACCCAATTGGTTGTCAGCTCTCACCACTGTATTTTCACATTTGCAATATTTGTAATCTATCTTCTCATTTTGATAAACTAAGAATAGTCTAAAACATAACACTCTTTGCATATACTTAAACACTCCCTAAGGGTTCTATCTCCAAAAGTGAGAGATTTCTAAGAATTGATGTAGAAACAATAACATAGAGACTATATTAATAGCTCACGACAACAATGCAAATTTTCATATTATGCCCTTCAAGGTTCCAAAAAACTTTTGAGTTATCATGTTAGACCCTATAAATAGAGAGATCACTTCCCCAGATATTTATGATTATGCCATGCTGAGCTGCATGTCATAGTCTCCCCTTAGTTATTATTGTAAATATTATCCCTCAAAAATTTTGTTTCCTAGAGATAGTCTTGTTGCCATTAAAAAGCATGAGACTCTAAAAAATTGTCTCAAGGATGTATCTGGTAGTGGTGTAGATTTGGAATAACGTAGTCTGTAGTCAATCAATGTTTTGCTTAAAAAGCAGTTTTTGAAAAACAAAATTTGAGAATTTTCATTTTTAGGAATTTATGAAAATTTTTCTTTTTAATGATTATCTTTTTATATTGTGTATACAGATAAGCTTTATTTATATGAAAGTTCCCAAGTCATCACAATTACCATTATATTTTAAGGCATTGTAGGGATTTTTTTTCCCTATTTAACTTGTTACTTTTTAAAGAACTGTACATAAAAAGGTATTTTATTAGTTGTGAATTAAATCTGTGACTGTTAAATACCTTTATTTATTTTATAACTATGAGTCAAGACACTGGCTTTGGAATCACACCAGATTGTCAGTAAGACTAATGTCTGAGTTGCTTCACAAAGAGTCTTTTTGTAACTAGATGTTAACTTTTAACATGAGTATTATTACTATAAAAGTAGGAAAGCCGGTAATCAGTAAGTCAGTTACTCTAGTAGTTCATCCTCAGTGCATGGTATTTTTCAAGATATTTTTGCATGCAGCCAATTGATTCTTATTGACTCTTACCAGTCCAGCAGTCAGGTTGATAGATAATTCAAAAGTGAAAAAATAGTGACTTGTTCCAGGTCAAACAGCTGGATAATGATGGAAAAAATAAGCTTTCACTGACTTGTTTGTTTACCAAGTCTTATACTGTAAACATGAATTACAAGACGTCATGCAGCATACACATTCCTCCTTTCTTCAAGTTTTTATGACTTTTGTATATAATATTGTTATATAATCTGTGATGTGCAAAATAATATGAATGATGATAGTAAGTTCATAATTAAAATTATTAAATTCATAGCCTGTGTCACTACTCTGTCCTATAAGGTAAGATGTGGAATACTTTTAATTTCCAAAAATGCAAAAACCTGAACACTTCTTTGTTTTTGGGGGGGGGGGGGTCCGGTCGTGGTGCCTGAATTCTGGGCCTGGGCGCTGTCCCTCAGCTCTTCAGCTCAAGACTAACGCTCTTCCACATGAGCCACAGCGCCACTTACGGCTTTTTTCTTTTTTTGCTTCTGTGGTGCTGAGGAATCAAACCCAGGGCCTCAGGCATGCAAGGCAAGCGCTCTACCACTGAGCCACCTTCCCAGCCCGTGAACACTTTTTAAAACTTGCAATGTGGGGCTAGGAAGGTGGCTCAGTGGTAGAGTGCTTGCCTTGCATGCATGAGGCCCTGAGTTCAATTGCTCAGCACCACATAAGCAGAAAAAGCCAGAAGTGGCCCTGTGGCTCAAGTGGTAAAGTGCTAACCTTGAGCTGAAGAGGTGAGGGACAGTGCCCAGGCCTAGAGTTCAGGCCCCATGACTGACCAAAAAAAAATAAAGCTTGCAATAGATCTTGTTTTTTTGTTTTTTGTCAGTCATGGAGCCTGAACTCTGGGGCTTGGTGCTGTCTCTGAGCTCTTCAGTTCAAGGCTAGCGTTCTACCATTTGAGCCATAGTGCCACTTCCAGCTTTTTCTGCTTATGTGGTGCTAAGGAATAGAACCTAAGGCCTCATACATGCAAGGAAAGCGCTCTACCACTGAGCCACCTTCCCAGCCCCTGGTGTAGATCTTAATATCTCAGGATATCAAAATGGCTTACCTTATCATACACATTACCACCAGAGTTATGATAATGGGAAGATTATGGCGATTTTTTTTTTGTCAGTTGTGGGGCTTTGAACTGTGGGCCTAGGTGCTGTCCTTGAGCTCTTCAGCTCAAGGCAAGCGCTCTATCACTTGAACCACAGTACCACTTCCAGTTTTCTGGTGGTTAATTGGTGATAAGAGTCTTACAGACCTTCCTGCCCAGGTTGGCTTTGTGATCCACAGATCTCAGTCTCCTGAGTAGCCACCAGTGCCTGGCTGTGGTGGTTCTTTTTAAAAATGAAAGTATAAGAGGATTTCACTTTTAGAAACATAACATATAAAACATATTTTGCCAATAGAACGGATAAAACTACAAAAATAGCAGATTTCAGTAGTGCATGGGGATGGACAGTTTTTTAATTTAGAATTACTTTTTCCCATCCTCCGTTTTTGAATTTCTTGTTATTATAAAGGTGATATACAAAGGGGTTACAGTTACATATGTTAGATAACAAGTACATTCCTTTTAGACAATGTCATGCCTTACCTAGCTCTCTCCCAGTTTTTCCCTCCTGTCCCCACCCACAGGCATAGTTCATTTTCAACATTGTGTCTACTGAGTACCACTGCTGAATTGTTCCCCCTTCGTTTCTCCCACTTGCCCTCTTAAAAAGCACTTGTTGTCCAAAGTAATGTTTACTTCTATAAACTGAGCACATCCTAAGAGATGGACATGGAGTAAAGCTGGAGGTAAAATGTGAGGCTCCATTGTGGTTGCCCTGCGATCCTTACAGGCATCACTGTTTTAAGATGGCAGACGATGTGAATGAAGGTGAAAGGTCTAGAAACCATATCCTAGAGACTCTTGGAATTAAGAGACTATAGAGTACACTTGTCATGTGAAAGAAGAAATAAACATCTTTCCTACTCAGGACAACTAACCCATAGCAACATTTAGAGGGTGATCATTTTTTTTCTTACGTTATAAAAAGGCTCTCCCAAATTTTGAACTATAGGCTAGGAAGCAGAAATGTGACTTGGAGGTAGAGGGACAGTGGCTTAGACCACAGCCCCAAATTTTCGGCCAAATAGATCCCGTTCTATAGGTTTTTAAGACCCATGTGGAGGAGACACTCAGGGCAGAAGTCCTCGACTTATAGCAGGCTCCTTTGCCCAAATCCCATTGTGGACGTCTTGTCACTTGAGGTGGACTTGATTTTGTCAAGCTTTATAATTGCTAATAATGAAGGAAATTTTTTCTCTCTTATACCTGCCCAGAAGGCTTGAGGAAGCAAGCTGATGGCCTTCCCATCTCTCTTCCTTGTACCTCTCTCCTGACTCCATCTGTGACTGCCTGCCATTCCCAAATTATATTGTTTACTGAAAGTGTTAGTGGTCAAAGCAGGGCTTCTGATATGCTAGGTAAGTACTTTACCGTAGAGCCACATTCGTAGCCCTCCAAGTTCATCTATTTGGAAAGGCTCAGCAGAGTCCACAGGACATATTCATAGAATACTTTTATTGAGAGCCAGAAGATACAGTGTAGCAAGCAGAAGAGGTCTGAGAGGTATCCTTTGTTTAAGCTTTCCAAGTCTTATTTATATTGTCTCTACTACTCCAGCATTAGCTCCCCAAATCTTAACTTTGGGAGAGCTCAAAGTAAAATGTCTGAGCAGGGTTTTTAATGCCTCTCTCTCTGACTACATAATCAACCATCCAGACTTAATCTGTTATGTCAGTTGGAAACCATCATTAACAACAACAACAATAAAAACAAAAACAAACCACCCAGGAAGTACCACAGTAATCACGTATCATAAATTCTTCTACTCTTACCTTGGCCCAAATCAAACAGCCAACATTCTGATATCCCTCAGAGATAAGAGGGAGAACTTTTTCACTCTAGCGGTAAGCCATAGCCTCCATGTGGCCTCCTTCCACCTTGTTTCTCCCTAAAATGCTTTGTAAGTTAAAAAGAAGAAAAACAATGCATAGCCTGTATAGCTGTGTCTCTTGTCTCTGGCTTCTCACCCTCAGCTGATCTTTAAGGACAGTGAACCGCCAGTGTGTTCATTATCTTTCCATTTGTCAGACTTTCCCCTGTTGGGGATTGTGAATAGGCATATGTTTTTAGAGTTTATACTGTGAGATCAAGATGGTTCCTTTTATTTAACCTTGATGACGTTTTTCCTTATGAATTCACACTTTCAGTTGGTTTTCACTTATGAATTCACACTTTCAGTTGGTTTTCACTTATGAATGAATGAATACTATTGCTATTGTCTTTCACGGACACCTGACAACTTTATAAAGCTGAAAGAAGTACAAAGTTCCCAGGAGAATCTGTGTTTGCTGGTGCTATGGTGACAAAGGTGCCCATACTGATGGTAAAACCATCGTGAGATACTTGCTCAAGTTACTCAGAGCCTGAAGGAAAGGACAGTACAAGCATTCTAGCCTCCAAATGACTGTAGAACTACCATTACTCACCATCTCTATCTGATCTCTTCCTCCTACCTTTCTCTCCTCTATAAAGACCCATTACTTATGCATGTGACTAGAAAATAGTATGAATTTAATCAATGTTTAAATTATCATATAACTTGAGTCTATCCTTCAACATAGTATTCTAGATTAAGAACCAAAATGTCAGATGGTTCTTTCTACAGACCAAGACTTCCATTTTTTCCTGACGAGGTCTTCTAAATGTAGACATGTTGACAGAATAGGGCCAACCTTTGTTCTAATCTCTCTTTCTTTGAAGACAATATATGGAAAGAAATAAACTAAAGATAGAGGACTGACAGAGACAGATTGAATGATGGTAAAGGTTACACGAGAAATTCATCACATCTCGAACATCCTTCTGGGAAAGGAAAGTGAGACTTTCAGCATCAACTGTCAAACTTCCAGAAATGATATTCCCAGGTGTTCTCTCCCTTTCCCTTCATGAATCACCTTTTGTGTTATAGCTGTCCTTGGAAAGAGCGGCACCTTTTGCTTATCAGGTACATTTGATCAGCTATAGCCATCTGAGAGCCAGAATGGGTCATGGGAAAGAGCCTAGGACAAAGAAAGGGGCCTGGAAAGAAGGAAGGGATTTTTTATAAGGAAAAAGGAAAGCCAAGAAGCATTTTCCCCAGAGTCAGTATAAGCTCCTTAAAATCACCCTGCAGCCTTAGTCCATGGACTTTTCACTTTGTAGAAGAGCTGATATTTAGACACCACAGTCTGCTCAAAGGTGCCTAGTTCACTTAAGCATCAAGATATTTTTTAAATGGTGTATATAATTAGCTAATTTGGAAACTGCTGAAGAACACGTCAGTATCTTATTACAGAGACTCTGGGATGTTTAGGATGCTCACAGTCCTATCACCTTAAATACACTTAGAAGCTCCAGTGTGACCATGAAGAAATGCTGCAGCATTCCATGTGGTAGAGGTGATGACTCCATTAAGTTGTAGGCTCAGTGGTGAACCGCTGGACAGAATTCAGTGATGCCATTTAATACCTTTGCCCATTCCATAAAATTCTAGAACTGGATTCTGCACTACCAAATCTGAGTCTTTGAAAATTTGACACAAACTCAATCACAGGAAGCCCCTGAGCTTACTCGTTTACTCCCTGAATGCAAAAAGAACTCATAAATATGAGATAGACCAGAACTTAGGTATCCATTCCAACTTCTTCAAGGTAGAGCACCTACTCTTCCCAAGTCCAGTGGCCTTAGTGTGACAACATTGACTTAAATCTGGTATCATCATTCCTATAGTATCAAGCTTCATAAAAGAACCACATAGAGAAAAGAACTATCTTAAATATTTTAAAGATATTTTAGAGAGTGCTAAGAAGTTATCTGTTCTCCATCTGCCCAGATATTTCCTGTAATCTTACTTCTTTCTCTTTTTGATGGAAGGGGGTGCTACTGGGGTTGGAACCACTTGAGCCACCTCCAGGTAAATCCTCATGTTTTTGCCAGGGTCCAGACTCAAACTATGATCTTCCTAACACCTCCCATATAGCTGGGGTCAGAGACACACATCATCACCATATCCAGCTTGTTGGTTAAGACAGAGGTCCTACTCTATTTTGCCTGTTCTGGCTTTCAACTAAGAACCTTCTTTCTGATCTGTACTTCCCCAGGTAGCTGGGATTGTAAGAATGAGCCACTGTATCTGCAAACTTTATTCTTAATCATACTTTTCATTTATCAACAAATATGAA